TGGGTGATCACTTCGATTGACAATGATGGCGATACTTCAGATATAACTTCCTTATCACTTATCAACGACAGTATTGACATTTATCATACCAAGTTATCAGTGGATCTTGATTCCTTAGGCTCCTTCAAGTGTGTTGAACCTGAATCTGGTATAATATTTATTCAGATGTTATTATATGATATAGTTAGTTCACTTAGTTATCCCTTATTAAATGACGTAAGGAATATAGTTATAAAGCAGTGGTTCTCTACCTTTGCCATCCTCCCACACCCCTAGAAAATTTAAAAATGCCGTCACAATCCTCACAATATCCATTTTGTATCTCTTATTCACTACAGAGTGTCTGTAGTGTGGATAAGTGTATATCATTTGAATACGTTGTAACCTTTCAGAAATATATACGTTAAAGTCCAACCTCGCTTGCTTTACACACATGTGTGCGTTGAAATCCGCCCTTGCCTACTTTACTGTATAAAAAGTGGGATGTTATCTCGCACCCCTGTAATGCCATCTGGAATCCCCGAGGGGGTGCAAGCACCCTGATTGAGAAACACTGATTTAAATGAACAAGATCAATTCCATTAAGGATATTCGTGGATTCGTTTCATTGGTAAAGATGGTCATGATGGTGGACAATTGTTCTTTTGTAATGGCGGCTTGAGTTCGTTTATAGAAGCGATTCGAAGGTATTTAAACACACTTTTTATTTGCGTTGTAGTTCATCTAATTGAAAAGTGATAAATATCGTTAAGAATACGAAACAATTACAGATACGTTCCATTGAAACGATCATCTCAAGACTCGAATCTGGTGTTATTGTTATCAAGTGAATCGTCATTAAAACATCTACAACAATCCATTTGCTTATTGAATATGAACAACGATAATGACTTTCTTACAGTATGTTTTTATTTGTAGATGTTGAACCTTTATATTGTTATTGTTGTTATCAATTTAATGATTATTAATACTATCATTGTTTTTATTATTAATATTATTATTGTGTAATAATTATAGCGTAAAATGACTCAGCCGTACACAACTGCCTTGAGAAGGTTTAGGAAAATAGCACATTTTGTTCAAAATCAGGTGAGCATTGTGTTTATTATTATTATTATTTTATTATTATTATCAAAATTGTATTTTTTATAAAGCTATTTATGTGTTGAATTAGCTGTAATAGATGCTTGTAAATCTTGCTGATATTATATGTTTAACTTAGCGATATTATTTAATTGCAATTGTTTCGTTTTAGTGAATTTATTTAGTGAGGGTAAGAATATTAGGATATAAAGAGTGATTTTGAGTGTTTCAATTGAATTATTTGCTTTAATCAATGAATATTAATGGTGAAGTTGATAACATCGCTTCTGGAATCGAATACAAAAAATGCAGAAGAACAAATAAGAGCAATGAGGGAATTACGGGAGAAACACCACGATGATTTTGTTGACAAACTGAGGTGACTCTTTATTAATTTATTATTACTATTGTTACTGTTATTATTATTATTTTTGCTGTTAATGTTGTTGCTGCTATTATTAATACCTCAAAAATTGCCATTGGGTAGAATCAAAAGCAAAACAGATAATTTATTGAGGTGAAATCTTATTCATAAACTTTATATATAGTAATATAAATTCGATACTTATTGTTAATCGGAATGATATCAAATATAATTTAAAGCAAATAACAGATTGATTAGCGACGCTGGATTTGAATTGATCACGCAGTTGGAACTACCTGAACGGAGTGAAGTGAAGAGGGATAAACCTCTAAAGGAAGCGATTGTATTGAATTATAAGTGTGTTTGGCTTCTTGATTGTCATTTTTATTTGATTTTGATATTACGATTTGTATTGGATTGCACTCATCAGATTGATTCATTTACACATAAAATGTTTCGATTATAGACAACGAGACGGATCGTATAAGGAAGTGAACAAATTGAAGTCGTTGATATTCCGAGGAGGGTTGGAGATGGCGTTGAGACGTGATTTGTGGAATTTCTTATTGGGTGTTTTTGGATGGGAGTATACTCATGAAGATATCGTTAACGTACGGTTTTGTGTTGTTGTTTTTGCTGTTTAGAATGGGCGATTGATTGGTGTTCAAGATATTGAATAAGTATAGAATTGATTGGTTCAATGAAAATGATGCATTATTTTTCAATTCAGTTGAGAGAGAAGCACAAAACTGATTATCAACGAATGAAATTACAATGGAAATCGATCAGTGACGAGCAAAAATCACATTTCAATGGGTTTGCTGTGAGGGAAACACAGATTAGTTAGTGTTCA